TACCTTCTTGTTCCGTTCCAAAGTCGGCGTTTCTCTATTGGGGGTCCCATCTATGGGTGGTATGAGGGAGTATATGGGATGAGGGAGTACCTTCTTATTCCTATACCCTCCCTCATTATTCCCCCACCAACCAAATCGCTCCTAAGGGAAAGAAAGAAGTTACCCGAAAAAGTTACTCGTATATTCCCCCTCCAACCATTTGATGTAGTTTTTAAATATATTAATTTTTTATTTTTAAATTTTACTTCAGTATTAGACAAATTGAATTCAAAGTAAACTTCAATCAATTTTGTTAACCATTTGATGTAGTTTTTAAATATATTAATTTTTAGTAGACAATGAGCACTCATTACACCCTGCATCAATTTTTAAATATAACTTCAATCAATTTTGTTAACCATTCTTTATGTGACACGGGGAGCATTTGTTTTTCTTTATAGTTACTTGTTACGGAGTAGTAGACAATGAGCACTCATTACACCCTGCATCCCAAAATTTTCGTGATCTGCTTTGCTAAGTTAAACCCAGAAGAAAGTTTTCTTATTGAGAGAAACTTTGCATTTGAATTGCTCCAAATGGTATTGTTTGCTTTTTATACAAGGGCATCTTTTTTTTTCCCCTATAGAACTCGAGTGTCATGGGTATATACCTTGTAATATACTATTGAACTCATCTGTCCTGTTTTGTTTTTCCATTTTGTTCCTTTCCACTGTTGGGTCTTTGGCCTTGTAATAACTAGGCTTTTTTTCTACTAAAGGATTATTGAAATGCTATTATTCCCTGTGTAGACATGTTATTTTTCTGGCTTAATGTGTCAACTAAAATTTGCTTCTAACACGTTTTTGAAATGTATTAGCTCAATCTGTTTAATTAGGTCGAATTACAAATTAATTTAGGTTAGGGATCCTTTGCCCGGAGTATCTTGTATCATCCTCCACATGCTTGCCTTGCCACAGTACAAAAATGTGGCCCCATTTTGTAGATTATCAATTGTATAGCAACACTTTCTTGATACCTCGGAAAAAAAGATGAATGTAAACATGAAGTATGTCTACATTCGTTCATTCTTCAATGTATCAAGAGAGTGTTAATATATTGTTAATATATAATGGAGTGTGTGGCAGCATCTAGAGGATGCATTGTGGAGGTGGGATGGGATTTTTTGAAAGAGGGCTTTACTCTGTATCTTCCCTTTATACAAACTATAATTACACAAATTTAACTTGAGGGAGTAACTAAAAAGGAGTTCGCTAGGGGTACTCCAGTAGTGTATTCGAGGTGTACATCACTCTTCTCACAGACACACAGATATCTTCACACATGGGGTACACCACTCAGGGTACCTTTAGGCGTTTCCAACTAAAAATTGTTCTTTCAAAAAGTTGTTTTGTACTCTATAGACGTTAGGTTTTCAAAAATATGTGGGGTGCATTGCTATAAAGGGAAAAACTACTCTCTCAAAATTATCCTTATATTACGCTCTTCACTTCTCAATTTTTTTCTTATCTATTTATTATTGTTAATCATTTGTTAAGATAATATGATTCCGTCATATCTTGTTTTAAGAATATTTGATGTAATTTTTTAATATATAAATTTTATTTTGAAATGTTCAACCATTATTTAAATTTTTAATTGAATTGAAAATAAACACAGTTAATGATTCTTTATTTAAAACATGACTATAACTTTGGAACAAAAAGAGTATATACTCTTGTGTATTCTTGCCTCGTAAAAGACTTCCTACGGATTTAAAAAAGTTAAGAAATGTGGTTAATTTTTGTCAATATAGGTGAAATTTTGCAAGTCATATTTTTATTTTTTTACAAAGAAATATAGGAAGTTATATGTGTGTGCGTTTTTAGTTTGTTGGAAAAGAGATGTTAAGAAACAATTTTTTAGGGTAAAAAACAATTGTTAATTGTTGGCATTAAAAAAAACATCTCGTGCTTCTTTGTACTATCGGCTACAAATAAAAGTTAGGGAGAAATTTGAAAGGTTTTAAATGAAAATTAGCATAGAATTAAAAAAATAAAATTTACTTTTATTTATTAAAACATTTTATTAAAAGGTTTAACAAAATAAGAAGGAATATAACTTACACCATCATTTTAAAAGTTTTAACTCATTTTCTCTTCTCTACGTTGCCAAGGGCCAAGCCAACTAGCCAAGCCATGGTGTAGTTGGAAGAATTCGTTGCAAGTCAGATCTATGTGGCGAATATAAATGGGGGGAAATAGAAACGCACAACACTTGTGAATTAAACAACACTCACAAATAATCTGGGAGAAAGAGAGAAACGAAAAACTAGATCCACATATTTTATGTGGTTCGATTTTTTTAATTTACAGCTGTAACTGGAAGAATTTTATTTCTGTTGCGGCGTTTCTAGATTATAAGTACAAGCAATCTATTTATAGAAAAAATCTAGAGTTATAGTCTAACTGCGGGCCATTAAATAAGCCTCCACAAAGCCCAAAAATATTTTCAAAATTTTATCCAATGACAATTATTAGTGTTAGCATTTTTAAAATTAATCTGTATTATTTAAACATAATCTAAAATGTCAATGTTAATCACATACGTTGTTACCTAACAAAATCAACTCATGTAATTTTTTGTTTTATAGAACTTTTAATTAGTTTTTAAATATATAATTTAATTTTAATTTTTTAAACCAATTTTTAAATAAAAATATAATAAATTTTTTTTAGTAAATATCATGAATTGATTAGTAAATTGAAATGAGAGAGAGAGAGAGTAGTGTTCCATAATGAAACACATTTACCCTCTCTACCCATTGTGCAATGACAAGAATGCCACACAATTAGCAATTTTTTAAATGACATTGTTTTTTCAATAACGTGATTGAACTCCCTAAAATTTTCAAAAGCACATCAAGTATTACATTTTTGCAAAAATGTCATTCTATTTTTTTGCACTTTAGAAATAATATCACTCAAATACTCTAATGAACTAGACATTTTTGAACTTTCAAAAATCCAGAAAGTTCAATGCTATTATTGAATGAAAAAAAATAGAGAGTGACATTTTTTACAAAAAGAAATACTTTTTTGATATTTTTAAATATTTTAGAGAGTTGAATGAAATTAAAAAAAGTAGAGACATTTTTTATAAAAACAAACAAATAGTAGGGTGAGATTCTTGTGCTTATTAGCAATTTACCTTCTTCCTTTCTTCAAAAATTCACTTACACTCATTACTATTCAATCTTTGTAAATGTGTGAAAAAAAGGGATAAAATTCCATTTTCCTACTCTAATTGCAAACTCAAATAGTGAGGGGGACAAATAACTGGAGGTCACCAGTAAAAATTCAATCTTTTTGAATGCCGCCATCGCTCCCTGCTAAGAATATGAATGGGGATTTCATATGAACGCTCAATAAGCTGAAGCCAATGCCTTGTATGGATCACCGAATGCAGCCACATTCCCAGGTCGGGAGAACACCACCTACAACATGTTTGTGTTAATGTCTGAGAAGAATCTTGTCTTGTTTTATATGAAGAAAAAAAAACAGGAACAAATAAATACAGAGACGCATTCCCTTTGCTGAATCAAGATTCATATGTACCTGATAGTTTCCTAGCGTGCAGGTTTGGAATCCGGCAGCGCAATAATCAAAGTAATACTCCCATGTCCGGATGAACTTGTGGTCAAATCCCAGATCAAGAATGTCTCTGAATGACACAGTTTATGGTCAGCCCATAATCAAAATCCACAGTTTTTGTTTCTTTTGTTTGTTCTTTTGTCTTTTCTTTTGATTCTCAACCAATAATGTAGTCTTTCAAGGAAGTTCTTACCTCTGTCTTTCAAGGAAGTTCTCCCTCCAGCATCTGAGGGTCTTGTAGTAATGGATTCCAATGTCTTCCAGATGCTCCACACTGTTTCCAAAAGAGAACTCTGTTAGTGTGTTAAGACTGTGATTTTCTACTTTTCTTTGAAGAAAATGCATATTTTCCAGGTTCAAAGTTCATGTCCTTTTTTTGGGTTTTTGTTTTTGTTGTTTTTACCAGAGCCTAGAGGCAGCAGCCATGGCTGATGTTACTCTGCTGAGAGAGGGTAGGCATCCACCCGGGAATATATACTCTTTGATGAAATCTGAGCTCTGCCTGTATTCATCATACCTCTGATCTGGTATTGATATGAACTATACAATAAATCCACCATTTACATCATTAGTATAATCATGTTAGACTCACATGGAGCAAAAAAGAACACAAATTTCAATATTGGTTTGATTGCATGACTTTTCTTTTTTCCTGCCATGTGATTTCGGTACCTGCAGAACAAGGATGCCATCTTCTGCTAGAGCTGATTCACAGTGAGCAAAAAAATCGTTCATAAATTCGTGGCCAACTGCTTCCAACATCTCACTGAAAACGATCATTACTCGGGGAAATCAGATGTGCTCATGGCAAGTAAAAATCAAACACATAAGTGAAAATGAGAGCTAAGAACGTACCAAGATATGATTCTGTCATATTTGTGGCTTCCAGGCAATTGTCGATAATCACAAAGGAGAAACCTTATGTTACCTTGAAGGCCAGCTTCTCTGACTTTTGCCTCTGCATATTTAAGTTGTTGCTCTGAGAGGGTAATGCCGGTATATTTGCATCCCGTTCTTTTCACAACTTCTATAGCTAAACTTCCCCAACCACATCCGATCTCGAGAATGTGATGTTCTTTACAAATTTTTGCCTAAAGGCATAGAAACATTCATACTTAGGCCAATATTTCTATTTTTATTTTCTAAAATGTTGCGTTGTAATGTTGTATTTCACCTTTTCAATCAGAAGCAATATTTTTCTCATCTGTGCCGTTTTCAATTCTTCAACTTCACTCTTTCATAAGAGAAATTGTGTTAATAAATGCATAAAGACATCCACGAAAGATCATGCTCAAAATGTTAAATTCTAACCTTAAATATTGCACATGAGTAAGTCATTGTTTCATCTAAAAAGAGAGAGAAGAGTTCATTACTCTGCAAACAAACATCACACACATTAGTCATATTCTGTCTGGGTATGTTTCGCTCAGTTTTTTCAAGGAAAGAAATACTTGCCAGATCATAGTGCCGAGATATGTTCCGTCTAGCCTGAGTAAGAGTGTTTTGCCTCGAAACATGTTGGATGAAATATTTGGCTGATGCTATTGCTGATGTAAAAAGCAATGGCGTCCACCAGCCCCTATAGATAATGAAACAAGCCAAATTTACAATTGTCTGTTTGTTCAAAAGTGTCGGGAAGCAAACGCATTGGAGGCCCTTGAAGACTATATCTTGATTATTAGAAAATGAATACATTGTGATTGAAATGTTATATGATCACCTATTATTTTATTCATTCTATTTCTTTTCTTAAACCTCAAGCATATACAAAAATATAGACATAGATCTTCAAAAACCACCTATATCCTAGAGTTAAGAAATGCCCAAACTTAAATGGTTGTAGTGAATTCACACGTTTAGAGAACCTTTTACCTTTTGCTATTAGTTCTTGAGACTGAAGCTTTTAGATCTCTGTTTGCAACAAAGATCTGCAAAATAAATTAAAGGACTCTTCAGTTTCAGTATAATGTTTCGTATTTTTTGAGGAGCTTGATGAATTTCTTACCTTGAAAAGGGTAAGAAGGCCTTCTTTTTTATCAACAAAAGAGATATCTCCATGAATATAAGCATCTGCAAGGCCTAAATCAGCCTGACTTGCAACCTGTTGAATCATTATTTCAACAGTGGCAAGGTAATTTTTATTATTTTTGGTATAATTTTTTACCACTATAGTTCCACAAAGAAAATCAGAAGGTGGCAAAACTTATGTATTACCTTCCAGTAAAACTGTGGACTATGAACTCTAAGTGAAACTTTGAGCAAGTTTTTCTTGTCTGTTCCTTCAAAGGTGAATATTGTGCCCCCTTCTTCCAATAAGCTGCTCAACAAACATCAGCAACACAAAAAATGAGTTGTGGAATAAGCTGAGACTCCAAGTCTTAATATGATATCAAAAACTTAAACTTAAATGATATATTCAATCCGTGTTAGCCTAAAACCCGAGCAGCACACAAATTTCATGATTGGTTTGGTCCAATGAACCACCATCTTGTGTGACATGTTAAGCAGTATCTCATAGAGGAAATGTTAAAGTGAAAATCCAACTTTTTAAGTTGAAACCCCAAGCCAACATAGGCTAGAATGAAGAGAAGAAGTGACCGTCGGTAGAAGTATCTACTCACATAATGCATCCAGTAGCAATGAAACTTCTGAGGAACCTTGTTACTAGAAGACGCGCTCCTGTTTCTGGCCAAGTTGGCACCATGTGCCTCGGGTTGTTCAGAGGAATGCAACTCTTCCCTAACAATTCGTGTGCAGCAGCCATGCCAGCCTAAGGACATCATGTGTTGTCTCCTTTAGTACTTGCCAGATTTGGGGTTTTGGTGGGAAAAGCTTCTTTTTGAAAGAGTAATTTCGAAAGTGCTTTTGAGAATTGGGTGAAAACGTGCTTTTGAGGGTTAGAAGTGTCCTTCATTGAGGTTCAAAAGTGATATGAAAATTTTAAAATGTTTAAAATAGAAACATCTAACCTAAAACACAATCTCTAAAATGCAAAAAGCTTTGGCATTTTGAAAGAATCAGGTTTGCCAAAACAAAACATAAATGTTTGGGATTGCATTAAGGGAAACTGGTGAAATTGAATAGATATACCTTTAGTCCATCCTCATGGAATCCATACCCTGAAAATATTGGATTTAGCGCGTTAGATAATTATATTACGTATGTTGTAACATATTTCTGTAACAATATGTTGGCTCTTTACCTTGATATGCACCAGAAAACCATATATTCCTCTTTCCTTGAATTTGTTGCAGCTGAGATGAAGCTTTTGATGCAGCAACTGATGGAACTGGATGACCCGTTGTCCACTTGAGTAAATAATTCTCAGGTGCCCGAGGCGGGTTGAGAGTCACCAGATAAGGCTGCCCTGTCTCTCCCAGGTTCTGTTTGTCCACAATTTGTCTATTTGCTTAGCATCTGAAATCTGAATGCACAACTAATGCAAGGGCAGGTTTTACTGATATGAATAAATCTACGACTTGCCTGCAGAGTGTTTAGCCAATATGTAAGACACACTTTTCTCTCATCCGTGGTTCCAAGAAAATTCCACGCGCTCCATGCTGCTTGGTTCCGTGGCATGAAATTTTTTTCGTGGTGAAGGTATATATCACTTCCATTCCGTGTTCAAATATGAGAACCAAAATGAGTAATAACAAAAAATCAAGATTCCAAATGAGGTAATGAAATCTTTTTACAAAAGTTGTCAAAATTGCAGTACACAAAAGAAGAAGAAGAAAAAAAAACATATGTTACCTGTACACGTACTGAAAAGCGCCAAGGATTCTAGTTTCATCAAATGTTGCCTCATCCCCCAACATTTTCAAAGTGTCCGGGGCGTGTGCTGCCATTATGCACCCATCATATGTTTCTTGAGACCTTCTCACACCACTGATGATCACTACACCACCTGCAAATAGACCTTTTTCAATGTCCAATAGCTAAAAATACCCTCTCAAGATCCTACTTTTTTGTGGGATTTTGTTGGGATTGTTGTTGCTGTATATGTGATTTACCTTGTTCATTTGTTGAGACAGACTCTACTTCACAACCGCACCTTATTTCGCACCCTCTCTTCTCCAGCTCTTTCTTAACCTGGTCTCCATCCCCATCAAAATGCATACAAAAAACTATATAAGAATATATCATAGACGGTCATTTATTTTACGCATCTTCCAAGAAAAATATCTCTTTTATTTTGTTGGGATATTACCTTGTTGACATAACTGTGTGACCGTCCTTTAACAGTTAGCCACTGCGGGCGACCAAAGAGCTGGAAAGAAAGCCAAGGAAATTATGAAACTAATTAACAAGTAAAAGAATTATAAAATGAAGAATGGCCCAAGAAAAATTACCTGCAGAAGGTGGTGGTTGCGACAGAATGAAAGAATGGAATAAGCAGAAAAGCTCATCACCCCTTCTGATGGGCATGACCATATGGAAGCACACATTGGAATCTGTTAAATGGGAAATTCATAGTAAGTCTAATGGGAGTAGTCTACATTCTTCTATACATATATACACAAGGGTGCGGTTTAGGTGAGATTGTGAGAATAATATTTACTCCGAGAAATGAGAATGGTGCATTTTCGGGCTGCCGTGATGCGTTTTACACTTGTAGTAATGCATTCTTGCAGAAAGTTTGATTTATTTACAAAATTGCCACCGTGTTTTTTTTCATTTTTTCCAGATTCTTTATGGCCCTTAGATCTTAAATCTAATGTATCGTATGCATTCTCATCTCTTTCACTGTGCATTATTCTCATTTGAACCACAAATGAGAATGATATTTACTGCGAGAAATGAGAATGATGCACTTTCGGACTACCGTGATGCATTTTACACTTTTAGTAGTGCACTTTTGCAGGAAAGTTTGATTTATTGACAAAATTACCACCATGATTTTTTTCTTCAGATTTTTAATAGCCTTCAAATCTTATGGATCGTATGCATTCTCATTTCTTTTACTGTGCATAATTCTTTAATAGCTCATGTGTGTGTGTGTGTGTGTTCACTTATCATTTCTTGTTTGGCAGATGTGGCACAAACTCTTGAACATCATCAAAAGGAAACAAAAGAAGTGTTTTAAGTTGCAGTCTCACTATATAAGCCTTCTGAAACAGCTCTGAGTATCCATGGGATTCGATGAATTCTCCCAACGTATCGTTACGATCCATGTCAGGATTATTTTCAAGCTCCTCAAGGTAACTGCACGCGATGAATTACACATTTGTTATTCATATATTGTCTGAATATATGAAAGATATCTGAGGTTAACATATAAGACGATACATTAAAACGCGCACCTAAGGGCATCGAGCTTGAACTTGAGAATTTCGCGCAGCATTTGCCAAAAGTATGGGTTCAATATGTTCTTCTTCTGCGCAAACAAACCAGAGAAACCGTTTCGGCTGCCCCACTCGCAGCCATGGCCGTTGTCTAAGCTCACAGAAAATGACATGTCTGAGGTTTCCATGTCAACTCCAAGAGACTCAAAGAATTCCATCATGTTTGGGTATGTAACCTGCAGCAGACCAATACCTTCCATTTTTCAACTTAGGCTTAAATGCATCATCATAAGGAAAAGGAACAAAAAACAAAGAAAGTGGATGAATTTAGTATTTACACTATATTTCATGTGGAAAAAGAAATATGCATTGGTCACTAAAGTAGACGACGACTGTGGTTGTGGCAGTAATGGTGGCGGCGACGACGCTGCGACGGAGGTGGAATACGAAAAATTAGACTATTTTATTATCTATTTTAAAAAAAATTAGAAAGGGTGATTTGGACTTTTTGTCAATGTCTTAGTCCTACATATGGTCCTACTTATGTAAAAGTCTTATGTATGTTTTAATCCTATTACAAATTACAATTATCCTCCCTTTGTAAGTGAGATAATGAGTATAAAAGAATATCTTCAAATCTCGCTAAATATTAGAAATGATGTTAATATTTTCAATGAATTTTTGGGCAAAAAATGTATCTTAATGAAGTTGGAGCTACACATTTACACTTGATATCCTCTTGTATAAAAATAAGTAGATAGAAAAAACTTGACACCGTCGAATACAATACAACCATAATTAAAGCAATCATGATTGTATAGTGTAAAATTTGAAAGGTGTAGTGAACACCATCTTTTGTGTACATTTAACATGGCTCAAAAAATGACAGACTACATGTTAACAAGCTCTAAAGAAATTGTTCACTAAAGTGTAATGAATGCAAAACATTCTTGTATCTATTGTTCTAAAATAAAAATTTTAATACTCTGAATTATAAAGTGGATTTTTCAGCACTATTAAGAATGCTTCAGGCCAGTTCCGAGGATTCCATGGCCCTGGACGAGACGAAAAATGAAATTATATAAACTATTTATTTTTATACAACAATTATATTATAGTAATGCACATAGCAGAATCATAGTGTTATAATTAAATATCGTAATAGCTAACGTAAAAATTTATATTTTTAAATTTTTTATTTTATATACAAACAAACACACACACACACACACATACTCCCTCCGTCCCTAGATGTTCAACACATTTCAAAAAACGAGGTAAAATATCAAGTTTTTTTATTTATTTTATTTAAATATTGATATAGGAATAAAAAATAAAATTTACATATTTAAAAACTACATAAAAAATTTTCAAAATAAGAGGTGTCAGAAATATTTTATTTTATCAAATAATCAATGAAAACATACAAATAAACAAAATTTCCCATGACTATTGAAAAAGCAAATGTGGCAAATATTTCAGGACGGAGTGAGTAACTATTTACTTTACTTATCCAGATTTTAAATTCTAAAAATGCAGTTAAAAAATTAAAATGAAAAAAATGAAGAATGCTTACCCGATTGAAAACCATGAAACCAAGGTCCAAATGGATGGCATTGTGCAGTGTGAGAGTTTTGGCATGGCCGCCGAGACAGGCTTCTTTCTCGTACAGCACCACGGCGGCGCCGCCCTTAGCCAAGACATAGGCTGACACCAGTCCACTTATGCCCCCACCCACCACCGCCACTCTCTTCCTCCTCCACCCACTCTCCATTTTCCTTTTATTTCCCCAACAATAATATATATTTGTTTCTCTTTGTCTCCCCCCTGCTTCACCAATAACCTATGACATTATTTACTAACTAGAATAAATTAATGAAATATACCACATACTATATTATAAAAAATTAATGAAATATACCACATACTATATTATAAAAAATTACCTACTATATAAAGAAACATTTGATGCAAATTGTGTATTAAAATCCCACGATTTAACTCTCATACATAAAATTTGACCATATGAATAATGACGGAGAAGTGTGATTTGGGTGGGAGATAGTATATATTAATATATATACAGTAAAAAAGAAAGAGATTAATTACCTTATTTGAAGAGGGAAAGTAGAGCTTTGAGTTTTGGGAGTTGAAGAAATGATTCTTATAAATGGCAGATTTTTTTTTCTTTCTTCTTCTTAAATTTTGCAAGAATGGCTATCCATTTATCAGTGGTCTTGGGGCCTCCCTTTTGCAGCTTCCTCTTATACTCTACATTGCAAAAAAGAATTATAGTACCTCCAACCCAAAAATTGTAGCCGAAGACATGACTAACATTTTGTAGTAGTGTAATACTAGTATGATAATTTATAATCACTCAAAATGTCAGTGTAGTTTTTTTATATTTAACTGACATTTTGTGCAAGTGCGAACCGTTAAAATGATGATGTACTCCTTTGGAATATACAATTTGAGATACACTTTTTTTTATGTACCGCGCACAAAAATCTGGAGAACCCTTGAAGGAGGATATATGATGATTGTACGGGTCTGGAGTGCAATACCAAAAATGACAGGAAACATGTGGGCATTGGATTATTGGGGTGACCACTCTGGGAAGATTTTTTTTTTTTCGGTAAACAAAAAAAATGTTTGGTGTGGATAATTATTGATGAAATGAAAAAAAAGGATGAGCTCCATCTCCGAACACATTAGTCGTCTTGCAGATGATAGCGACGCGTCTATTTCTAAGGCAACCGCCGCCCGAGGTCCAGCGACTCAAGGGCCAGTGCCAAATTTAATTACAGGAATTGCAAACCGACATGCTACTATGTGCGATGAACGAAAACATGCTACGCTCCAGGACGATTTGATCGAAGAAATTTAGAGACGCAACAATAATTAATTCAAACATTAAATTATTTATTTATTATTATAATGAATTTGTTTTGTTTTTTTAATAAAGTGTGTCGTTGTTATCATTTTTATTTTAATTAGACGTATTTTGTATTAATTTAAATTTTTAATTAAAAATGAGGAATTATATAAAATAAATGGAGAAGCGAGGCGAGAATTCATACTGTTCGGGTTGGGACGGAGCGAGAGTTCATACTGTTCTAAATGCTCTAAAAGGGTTCTTGGTCTTTTGACCAATTTTTTATAGATTATTATTTTTAATTTAAATATTGAAGTGAAATTCGTAGTACAATAATTACAAAATTTCAAAGATGCTAAAACTAAAGGGAGTATGAAATTATTGCAACTTAAAGACAAAATTATACTATACGGAAATTGTTTCATGTTGTAGAAAAAATATAACAGTCCAAAATATAATAATGTTCATTGAAATATAACTAGGATTCAAGAATTCTTTAATTAATTAAGTGTTGCTTGACTTGTTTTCCATGACTCTGAAACCTCATCCCTTACGTATTTACACCATGTTTGATTAGAAAAAGTAGGAATTAAAAAAAAAGTACCAAGGAAAGGAAATATAATTAAAAGGGAAAAAAAGCTAAAAATTTGAATTTCGTTTAATTAGTAGGAAAAACCTCTCTAGCTACTTTCGAGTATACATAAGCCGGTGAGGTTTGTATACACACCATCTCCTGACCTTATTTTTTGTGAAATTGTTATTAGAATCTATCTCATATTGGAAGTTGAATAGAAAAGTGATCGGTATATAAATTTTTGAGTTGAGCTAAATAATGGATTGGATTCAATCTGTTAATGTGATTCAACCTAAGTTTCTTATTACCCAATTCAGTGATCCCTACTCCATTTTAAATTTTATCGTAAATTTTAATAGATTTGTATTTCTAAACTCATATTTCACATTTAGTTATAATTATCATCTTAATTACACACTTGAATATATTTGTGCATATTCATCATGCTTGAACACACACATAAACACAAAATAAACTTTTTACCCCGTAGTATTTCTTAAAAAATGAGAGTGAGTATTTTTCGTGGACCTAGGAGTTTATTAATGAAAATGAAAGTAACAAAATAATGTTGCTAGTACCTGGCTGTGAAGAGGGAAACGTGGTGTGCCAACTAGCAAATATGAATACTTGGTAGCAACATATCTTAACGTGGTCTAAAGGATGCCTATGCCCGCCCACTTTAGGCTATGGGGGGTGGAGTGGGCATTGGGTATGTGGCAGCCGGTCCCGACGGGGAACACTCCTACCCCCACCCCCACCCCCGATCGGGATCTGGCATGGGCAGCATCTGTGCACACCGATGACCATGATCTTACAAGTTTGAGTTCACACCCTAAATGAGAATGAAATGATGATGAAATGAAAAAAATTGATACTCCGTATAACGCTAATTAAATTGGAAATAGGAAGGTGGGAATAATACTAATGACACCTAATAGCCTTAGGTACCTTTAATTTGGTCTTTGGAAAGGGAGTATATATTTTTTTTAACATGACTTTTTGAAAAATGACTTTGAAACTCTTATACTCTTTTTGACTTTCAAATGCTCAATTACTCCATTTGTCTTTTTGATTTTAGGACATGAGTGAGTGACACTAATATTAAGTGATAGAATATTAAGTCCTAACACAACTAGGACTAAGAATAATAGAAACTGATTAAATGATTTAAAATACAAATATACCATAATTAGAACTATTTGTTATTATAGTCTAACACCCTTCTCAAGCTGAACTTCGTCGGAGAGAAGCTTGGAAATGAGAATCTTGTGGAGCGAGAGAGAGGAAGGGCTTTAGTCAGCAGATCATCGTCTTCAGAGTATACGTGAGACACATGCATAGCACCAGCAAAGACTTGCTCGCGAACAAAACGACAGTCATAACCCACATACTTCATACGCTTGTAAAAAATCAGTCAGATTTTTTGTGAGACATATAGCGAACTGATTGTCACAAATAAGAAGTGATGGAGAGAGTGGAACATGAAAATTAGCTCAAACATAGGATATCCACACGGCCTCAGACGTTGTAGAGGACAGAGCTTGATATTCTGCTTCAGTGGATGATTTTGAAACATGTGTCTGCTTCTCCGTGCTCCGTGAGATCAGATTTGGGCCGAGATACAAATGATATTCAGTAATCGATCACCCATTAATCTTATCGTTTGCCCAATCTAAATCAGAGTATGCCCGTAATTGTAAATTACCAGAGTGAAAGACGTGACCCATGTCAATGGTCCCTTTAATAAAGTGTAGGATGTGCTTCAAGCTCTAGTAATCATCTTGTGTGGGCTTGTGAATGCTGGCACACATAGTTTATGGCAAATTGGATGTCAGGACGAGTAATACTGAGCTACTGGAGACCTTTTTGTTGTGATTCTAGCATTTCTCTAAGATCATGTGGTTGATGATAGTCTTAAAAAATAAAATAAAATAAAATGAATATAACAATACAAATATAACGTAGGAGACAAAACATTGTGAGGGATAAAAAATTAAAAAGGGACAAAAATTATAAGACAGGTGAAAGACACATTGAGTAACACATTGATTCAATTTTGAAAGACACTAATCCACGGGAACTATGACATAATTACAATTAAAGAGATGAAGCTAATTCGTACGTCCGTGGATGTTTCGCAGTTGGCAAAAGCAAAGCGACTCACAAGGGGTAGATCTGAGTTCGATTTCTTACAACTGCGTTGGGAGATAACTATGGGCTTCTACAAATACTAAGTGCAGACTCTGTTATCTGCCACCAATCTGTAATTAAAATGTAGGGAGTAATTTACTTTCTTTTAAATGATTAGATTTGACTCTTTTTTCTAGCACCTACCTCAACCCATGCTGGGCCGGGTTATCCTGACCGATATGTGGGCCGCATTCGCTTACCATACCTATGGGTGTGGCCTGGCCTGAGGTGCAATATTATTTTACATAATGGACAAGGTTTATTGAGCTTATTTCACTATACATATTTGTTGGGTTCTAATACACTCCGTATATATCCATTAAGAGTCCCACAATTTCTAGTGTTGCCTTAATTGAAACTCACAATGCACGAAATCACAATTAAAATTAGAGGAAATTTAAATTTAAATATGGACCAATACCGCCGTAATGGAAATTAAATATGATCGCACAAGTTAAAACACACTATATCCGTCACAAGATGTTGTAGCATTCATTGTGTTTGACTTTTTCGAAATTAAAATGTCAAAAAAAAAGCTACTCGCCAATTAGATTATACGGAGTAATCTTTTTTTCTCTCGCATCTTGATAAATTTTGTTTATTTGTGTATTTTCATTGAGTATTTGATAAAATAAAATATTCTTGTCACCTCTTATTTTATACAATTTTTGACGTAATTTTTTAATATGTAATTTTTATTTATTATTGATGTACCAATTTAAAAATAAAATAATTTTTAAAATTGAGACATTTTGCTTCGTAACTCTGAATTTGTAATCAAATTAAGAACGAAGGAATATCATTTTTCTTATGAAATCAATAACTTATTTCATTGTAAGGAGTATTAATATACACGTACTATGAGTTTAATACTCTTGTATACTCCGAGTGTGATTATTAAAAATCAGTTAAACAAATGTTCTCGAATAAAAGGAGTAAATTTATTAGGAGAACAAGATACTAATAATAAAATAGAAAACTGCTTCTTAGTATTTCCTATTTTGAGAAACTAGTACTTCAGATTTTTAAAATATATTCTGCGATACCTTCTATTTTGACGAACTAACTACCGGGTATTTCACATTTTTAAAATATACTCCGGGGTAACTCCAAATATACATTAACTTACCCGTGATGGACATTTCATCTCACTCTTAGCTTCGTCAAAGCCAGTTTCGCCATTAATTTTAAGATATAGGGGTTTGGAATTCCAAAAATAACCTAAGTTCTTATACTTTAATGATGCAATCAATCCAGTTTAGTTGAAGCTTTCGAATGGAACGGAATGTCCCTCACGGGTAAGTTAATATACATTTGGAGGTACCCAAGCCTGGAGTATATTTTAAAAATATGAGATACCCCACAGTTAATTTCTCAAAATATAGAATACCTCTAAGTATATTTTAAAAATATGTAGTACCCGGCAGTTAATTTCTCAAAATAGAAAAATTTCATCTCCTCAAAATAATAAAATTCCATTTTAATATAACGACCACCATAACTTTACCTTCCCGCTTTCTTCGGAGAATAACAACATTTGCCCTCTCCCCAGTATTCCATTCTGGGCATTCTCTCTCTCTCTCTTTCCTAGCCAAAAAAAAGAGAGAAAAAGAAAATATAATGCTCCCCGGCTTCTCTCTCCCGCCAGATATCTGACCACGATATCTTCTGTTGGCGAGCGGATCATATCATACCTCACCACCACCCGCACCGCCACACGCCACGGCCATGTCACCGCCAACCGCCGACTCCGGCGAAATCCTCGTTTGGCCGCTCGGAGGAGGAGTCGAAGGCTTGGACCACGACGACTTCCGGGAGGCGGCGTACGAGATATTCTTCACGGCCTGCCGCGGGTCCTCCCCGGGGTTCGGCCGTGGAATCTCGGGCGGCCAACCGGAGGGTTTGGACGGGAACCACGGGTCGCCCGCGAAGGCGACCAGGCCGGGGGTGGGGATGGCGGTGACGAGCCGGGTGAAGCGGGTGTTGGGGTTGAAAATGATGAAGCGGTCGCCTTCGCGGAGGGCGAGTTCGGGCGGTGGGCCGACAGGTGCTGCCCCGTCGTCCCCGAGCGGGCCATCGACGCCGGCGCGGGGGAGGAGGCCGATGACATCGGCGGAGATCATGCGGCGGCAGATGAGGGTGACGGAACAAAGCGACAACAGGCTCCGCAAAACTCTCCTCCGGACGCTTGTCGGCCAAGTACGGTATCTCTTTGATTTGCATGCATGGATGAATGCCATGTGTACAATTAGATGTACTCATCAATACAACATTTTTACCATTAATAATTATATTTCGTACTTATATGTTCATAAATGATACTTCCTCCGTCCCCAATTTGATTACAAATTGCGGATTATGGAGTAAAAATTTTTATTTTTTGAAATCATTTTATTTACAAATTGTATATCAATAAGATATAAAAATTACATATTAAAAAACTACGTCAAAAGTTCTACAAAACAAGAGGTGACAAGAATATTTTATTTTATCAAATACTTGATGAAATTGCGTAAACAAACAAAAGTCATCGAGAGGAGGGAGAAAAAAATTGTAATCTATTTAGGGACGGAGAGAGTATGAAAATTTGACATATTAATAATAACTTTTATTTTAAAATAAATCTAATTATATTGAACTTAAATTATTCACAACTAAAAATATTTCTTTCACAAATTATGGTGAAAATTTATAAAATTTGATCAAGAAAAATCAAACATAAAAAAGATTTTGGGACGAATATGTATCAGTTTTATAATAGCTTTAATATTTAGTTTTAACATTTTAAAAAAGTTTTAGAGTTTTAACTGCCATAATGTTTAGCTTGTGTTTAAAAAAATAATAATCTATACTCTACCAAAAGAAACATTACGTCATTACCCTTCATGTATTGATTTTTAAGTCATAATAGAAAGTGTAAATAGTAGGACAACAGGAAGTATATATAGTTGTAATTTGTAAATGAAAAAATCCGGAGAGCTAAACACACTGTTAATGGACTTCCCTTTTATCTGCAGTGATTTTGGTTTTGTAGATTCTTGTTAACCCTCAAGTTTCCGGGTACCCATCCATGAAATCTTCTGATTATTATATTGGTAAATGTGGGGATATATGCAGATGAACAGAAGAGCAGAGACGATCATCCTTCCATTAGAGTTACTCCGGAACCTCAAACCATCCGAATTCAACGACGCCAACGAATACCATGCATGGCAGAAGCGGCAGCTGAAGATCCTGGAGGCCGGGCTCCTCCGCCACCCCTCCACCCCTCTGGAGAAGTCCAACCCCCACGCCGCCCGCTTCAGGGGGATCATCCGGGCTGCCCAGGCCAAGCCCATCGACACAGGCAAGAACTCCGAGGCGATGAAGACCCTCGTCAACTCCGTCGTGTCCTTGGCCTGGCGCAGCCCGGACGGGTCCCCCGTGGACGTCTGCCACTGGGCAGACGGCCACCCGCTCAACGTCCACATCTACGCCGCGCTCCTCGGGTGCGTTTTCGACTTGAGGGACGAGACCCGCGTGCTGGATGAGGTCGACGAGCTGCTCGAGCTGATGAGGAAGACGTGGCTCACGCTGGGGATCGACAAGCCGACCCACAACCTCTGTTTCACGTGGGTCCTCTTCGAGCAGTACTTCTCGACGGGTCAAGTCGAGAAGGATCTGCTCGGAGCTTCCCTGGCCATGCTCGCCGAGGTCGCAAATGATGCGAAGAGAGCTGAGAGGGAAGCTCTCTATGTCAAGATGCTAGCAAATGTCCTTTCGTCCATGAAGGAGTGGTCCGATAAGAAGTTGTCCTCTTACCATGAAAGTTTCGATGTGGGAAACGTTGGCTTACTCGAGATCGTTGTGCCTTTGTTTTTCTCTAGCGCCAAAATCTTGGAAGAAGACGTGCCCGGTTATGCCACTACTCGTGTTGGAAAAGAGGCATTCACATTACAAAACTCTACTAGAAGTCGGGTGGAGCAATACATAAGGTCATCGATTAAACGTGCATTCACAAAGGTACGTGTTAGAGTTTAAAATCTTTTCTAAATGTTCGTTACAAAATTAATTTTGTGCTAAATTTCAATTTTTTTGTTTGATGTAAAAAACAGATGTTGGAACGACGGGGCGCGAATGCCGAAACATCAGAATTGAGTGAAACGCTCATGAATTTAGCCGATGTGGCGGAGGAATTGGCGGAGAAGGAAAGGAAATTCTATAGTCCGGTGCTGAGGAAATGGCACCCGGTGGCGGCAGGAGTGGCGGCGGTGGCGTTGCACGACTGCTACGGGACCATGCTGAAGCGGTACTTGTCGGGTGTGACGTCTCTCACGCACGACACGGTTCTGTTGTTGCAGAAAGCCGGGAAGCTAGAGAAGGCCTTGTTTGGGATGGTGGCTGAGGCTTGTGAGGAATGTGAGGATGGAGGGAAAGCTATGGTTAGAGAGATGGCCTCTTATGAAGTTGACTCAATGGTCATGACCATGTTAAGGCAATGGATCCAAGAAAAATTGAAGAAGTGTAGGGACATTGTCCACAGAGCAAAAGACACTGAGGCATGTTCAACTTTCTACTTTTTATTTTTTTTTTGTTACCATTTGTTAAAAACAATGTATAAACTCACTTTTCAAATGTTATTTTTTTTTGCATATTTTCATGTATTACCAGACATGGAATCCAAAATCCAAGACAGAACCATATGCCCAGTCTGCGGTGGAGCTGATGAGGCAGGCAAAAGACGTAGTTGACAGTTTCTTCGAAATTCCCGTTAGCATCTCCGAGAATTTTGTCAGAACTCTTGCAGATGGTTTCGAGCAAATCGTTCGCGAATACGTTGTTTTCGTCGTGTCATGTGGTAAGAATTTCTTTTCATGGAGGAAAAAGTTTTGTTTCACAAACAATTGTGAAACCCAAGTTTGTGTTCTTCATTGAGTTGGTTTTTAACATTTTACCAGAACCTTTGTTCGAGACCACATCCACAAACTTAAGCTTTTGGCTCCAATGATTGCAGGATCAAAGAAGAACTATGTCCCTGCATTGCCACCCCTAACAAGGTGTAGCAAAGACTCAAAGTTTTCCAGGCTATGGAAGAGAGCCGGCGGCTGTAGGGCGGGACTAGACGGTGACAACCCGATCTCCACCAACGAAGGAAACCACCCGCGGCCTTCGACGAGCAGAGGGACACAACGCCTATACATCAGGCTCAACACTTTGCATTACATACTTTCCCATCTCAATTCCTTGGAAAAATCTCTCTCCTTAAACCCAAGAGTTGTCCCTTCCCCAAGAAGGACAAGCGGCTCCTCCTCTTACTTCGACCACGCCCGGTTGACGGTCAACTCTGCCTGCCAGCACGTTTCGGAAGTCGCAGCCTACCGCCTGATCTTCTTCGACTCACACAACGTGCTTTACGGCGGGTTGTACCAACGCGGGGTGGAGGGCGCGCGCATCCGCCCCGCGCTGAGGACACTGAAGCAGAACCTGACGCTCCTGTGCGCGATTGTCTCAGAAAGGGCCCAACCCGTGGCGATCAAGGAGGTGATGAAGGCGAGCTTCGAGGCCTACCTCATGGTCTTGCTCGCCGGGGGGAGCTCGAGGGCGTTCGCCCGGGCGGACCACGAGATGGTTGAGGACGACTTCGAGCACCTGAAGCGGTTGTTCTACACATGCGGCGAAGGGTTGATGGCGGAGGAGAGCGTGGACAAGGAGGCGCAGGCGGTGGACGGGGTGGTGGCGCTCATGGGCCAATCCACTCAACAGTTGGTCGAGAATTTCAGCCTTCTCGCCTGCGAAGCAAGCGGGATCGGCCTGATGGGCCCCGGTCAGAGGCTGCCAATGCCTCCGACCACAGGAAGATGGCATAGGTCGGACCCGAACACGATACTCAGAGTACTGTGTTACAGGAATGACAAAAATGCCAATCTTTTTCTCAAGAAGACTTTCCAACTGGCCAAGAGGAGGGGTTAATTGAAAATGCACCATTTGAGCAGTCACTTTGTATAGCTTGCAGCATTACAGAAACAACAAAGAGAACATTTCTTTCTTTCTTTTTTGAGGGAATCTACAGATTAGCTTGTCTGCTTTAATTAGTCAAGACAAAAATCATATTTTCCTAAACTAATTCCAAGGAAATCAATGCATTTTTTTTATAAAAAAATCTTATGTGATCAACATAACTTGGAATGTTATATCATGATGCATTGTTTAATTGAGTTTGAGAGAGTTTTTATAACAGAAGTGCTCTATGCTTCAGATGTTTGTTGGCTAGTCACTTTATTTCTGGACCCAATCTCCAATTCTTGCCTCAAGACAACCATGGAGTCCGAGACTTCGGCTTTGTACACGTAAAACTTAGCCACAACTAAGAAGAACACGAAGTTCACGACATTAAGTACCGCGAAGAAGGCGTAGTAGTAGTCAAGATGAGAGGCATTGAGGTTGTTGAGAATCCATCCCCCGCGACCATTTCTCCTCGTGATTCGCGAAACGTTGGAGAGAAATACCGTGCTGAGGAAGTTCCCAACTCCTAGCGTTGTCGACGAATACGATGTCCCCAAGCTCTTCATGCTCTCGGGCGCTTGGTCGTAGAAAAACTCGATCTTCGCCACTTCCAAGAACGCGTCCGCGGTCCCCATCAGGACGAACTGAGGGAGCAGCACGAAGATCGTGAGCGGGACCTGAGCCCCGCTCTCGACGAGGCCGTGTTCTTTTGCGACCCTCAGCCTGTACCTCTCAGTCAGCGAGGCTATGACCATGATGGTGATGTGGAGAACCGCGCCGATGACCATGCGTTGCAGGAGATTCACCCCTCTGGGGTTCTTCGTCCACTTTTTGACGAACGGGACGAAGAAGCGGTCGTACAAGGCAACCGAGACGAGCATCGAGAGCGTGACGAAACCCGCCAGGCTGGCTGGGGGTATGTTGAAGCTGCCTATGCTTCTGTTGAGAGTTGTCCCTTGCTTGACAAAGAGAGTGTTGACTTGTGCAATCATTGTGCTTGGAATGAATGTGGCCACTAAAATGGGTAACATTCTCAGCATCTGTTTTGTTTCTTCTATTTGTGTCACTGTGCATAGTAGCCATGGACTGGTGGAACCTGTCTTCACTCCAGCTTTGTTCAAAAACCTAAAAATTAACATCTTGTTACTTTGTCACAAACTTCACTAAACCAACTCAACAAAAAATTTAAAAATACGATAAATCTAAAAAAAAATGGATAAACATGAAAAAACCACCTAAATAACTTCATTATTTAGTGCTCACTCTGTCCTTTAAAGATTTGTCTTAATAACTTCATTATTTAGTGCTCACTCTGTCCTTTAAAGATTTCTCACTTTCTTTTTTCATCCGCTGATCTCAAAATAACATGCTTTAAACTTTTTCATTATTTAACATGTTTTTAATATATTTTTTCATCCTAGTAAACTAGTGAGATTTTTTTTTTGGGACAGTGAAAGTATAATAAAATAAAACTTTTTTTGTAAAGCAATTTCCATCATCTCCGATGGAGCCAAAATTTCACCATTTTTTTGGCTTTGGGGTATGATGGAATAAATCAAAATGGATCTCTAAACTATCTGCGCTTCTTTAATTAATGAAGTAGCAGTTAGTTAAGCAATGCAACTTTCGACGTTGAGCCGGGGGTCTCTTTGGAAACAGCCTCTCTACTTTCGAGTAGGGGCAAGGTCTGCGTACACACACCCTCCCCAGACCCTACTCTTGTGGGATTTAACTGGGTTGTTGTTGTTGTTGTTGTTGTTTTTGTAAAGCAATTTCATGAATAATTTTCCAAAACTAACCTCAAAGAAGGTGTAGAGTCAATTCTATGCATCCCATTCTTGGTGTACTCATCCAAATCCAGCTCATGCAATTCTTTGGGATCAACAGAAACTGGGACCCTCCATTTCCTTAGGGCTGCAACAATGACCATACCCATTCTTGTAAATGGGCTCCCACTGGGCTTCCTGTGCCTATAAAATGGAGTCCCAGCCAAAAATATCACTATGGACAAAGCCAGCCCAATTGTGGGAAGCCCATACCCCAAGGTCCAGCCCACATTGTCTTGAATGTACACCAGAGCTGTGTTTGCAAAGAGTGTGCCAAGAAATATGCTGAACATCCACCAGTTGAAGAATGACAGCTTTTGGGCTTTCTCCTTGGGCGCGTGCTCGTCGAACTGGTCCGCCCCGATCGTCGATATATTGGGCTTCGTCCCGCCCGTCCCGACTGCTAACGTGTAGAGTGCCCCGAAAAATAGGCCCAATTGCAATGGGCTTGGCATTGGACAGTCAGGCCCAAGTGGTTGGTGAGCACTACAGGATGGTGGTTTTAGGCCGGGCACCGAAACCACCAGTGTCAACATGCTCATTCCCTGTGACCAAAATGGCAAAAATGTACACTTTTTTGTTCACTATATTTATTGTGACAAGCATGTTAACATAACTATTTCCTCTGTAACAAAAAATTACAAAACATTCTCACTGTCTCAAAATGAATGTCATTTTACGGTTAAGGAATTTTAGTTAAATTTATTTTCCTCTCAATATGTTAAAATATTAGTATAAATTTAAAACTATACGACTAAAAATTACATAAAAAATATACGGAGTATAAAATAAGCACTGATATAATTATACACACTCCGTCTCGAAAAAAAATTCTTGTTTTGACTTTTTTTGTAAAGCCGTGACACTTTGTGATCACAAACTAAATGTAATTTAAATAAATAAATGTTGAATTTACATTATTATTAAATATATTCTTTTCACAATTTATGGTCAAGATTGATTCAATTTGACCAAAAAAGTCAAAACAAGAAAGATTTTTTAGGACAGACGTAATACTATTTTCCCCCATTAGTAAATTAAATTAGACAAAAAAAACGTGATAAAGTTTGACTCATAAATGCTAAACATTGACATATATTTTGAGACAAAAGGATTACATAACACGATATCTCATATATTTCTAAAAGGAAGGACCTCAACCTATGGGTTCACTGGTGTGGTTTGATAGTTACCTGATAGAAGTTAAATAAAGCTCTAATCTCAAGTGGTCAATAGAGAGTGTGTTTTATCCCGGTAAGTGCAAGGACCATGTGATAAGCATAATGGTCCCACATTGTTGCTCTGAATCTTTTAATTTACCCCTTCTCTTGACTATTTGAACCAGGCCAGTGATTGAAACGGAGTACCTCACAAATGTCTAATTTTAAAAGAAAAAGTCTATCTAAATAAGACTAAACTATGAAACTTATACCAAAATAGCAAGTCAATCATAGCATTGAGTCGGCACACGCCGATTCATATGAATGTTGACCTTATGCCCACGTAATAATTTGCTCATTAGGTTTGCAAACAATTGCACACCTCTCATGCCTCTTTTTTACTCTTCCTTTTCTCATTCAACTCTCATCTCTACAATAATTTCTTTAATTTTTTTATTTCCTATTAAAATAATCAACTATAACTCCAAGAATAATATTCTATTGAGTGTTAAAGATTGCAGAATTGATGATTTGATAATAAAATAAAATAAAAAAGTGTGTTGCTTTCAAAAGAAAATTAAAAAACAGTTAGGATTTCTAAATTTCTCCTAGGATGCATCCACCAAATAAGTCCAACTTCAACAACTTATTGGACAGTTCACATTAGGATCCCAGCATTATTTATTCATAATACAATGTCGTCCTTGCTAGCTGTATCCAGAATATACACTTAATTCATTCTTTTTTAGTAGCTTACTTACATGCTTATCATTGTAGTGTACGTTCAAATTAATTTCAACTTTTTAAAGTATAAGGGTGGCATGCTGAGAAATTTAGAGTGATTTTCTTGTCAGTACGCTAACATGTTTCCACACTTTTATTCTTTTTAATTAAGTTTTGTGCCGATAGATATTCCACAGTTGGCAAAAGTAGAGAGTGCCAAGAGGTAGACATGAGTTCGATTCGTGGCAACTACGCTAGTAGACAACTATGCTAAGCATAAAGTCTTTGCAAGTACCAAGTGCATGCTCCACTCTTTGTCACCAATCTGCAATCAGAGCCCAAATTACTTCCTCTCAGTGACTGTCCTGTTGGGTCTGAGAGGACCCTCGAGGATAGGGCTTATTCTTTTATTTAAGGAGAGTATGTCAAGCCCGTTGATACTAGAGTCGAATTCTGGCAACGGCACTGTGAGAATTCTATTATTTATTATTCGATTTGTTTATAGAGTATTTTTATGTTAAAGTTTTTGTGACTGCACCTAATTTTGTGGACCTTCCATCCTTTTTTCCTAAAATATATCTTTAATTTCTTTGTGATTGAATTGGTGATTGCCCTGATTGGTGATGAGTTGAAGCCTCACTTTTTAATTATTGATGGTCAAAATTGTCGACTTGGACACTTTGACTTCAAAAATATTAAACAATAAAAAAATATTGAGTATAAAAATAAATAATGTGAACGCTAAGGATCTTGTAGTCCAATGTCACCTCTTTGACTCTCTCAAATGAGAAGTGTTTGCACAAGATATGCACAATTTGTGAAAACAAGACGAGGTGAAAGCGGAAAAAATAAAAGTTAAGATATTTAAAACTCCTTCCACATCAGGTTTGACACGATATGTTTTACAGACATGCACAAGAAATGCATGGGCAGTCATTGCTTGTGAACGTTTATAAAACACATAGGCCCCGTTTGATACAAAAAATTCAAATGATGGAATTGGAGATAATAATTCTAATTTTATTGTTTGGTAGCACAAAAATATGCAGGTTTGGAATATGTAGTGCTAAAAATGAATTGAAATTGGAGAATTCGATTTTATCAAATTGATTGCACAGAATTTCAATTCCCAATTCAATTCCAATTTTGTCAATTCCGTGTACCAAAATCGACCCATAATGTCAAACTCTGGTCTTTAAAAAACATTTACGTACCAGAAGATAGATTGCAGAGGCAATGAGAAAAGTCCAGTAACGACCAAGAAAGGCATCTGCCACGTAGGCACCCAAGACAGGTGTCATCCAAACAGTGCCCACCCAATTGGTGACATTGTTGGCAGATTTCACAGTTCCTTGATGCATCTTTTTGGTCAAATATATGATCAAGTTTGATGAGATCCCATAGTACGCCATTCGTTCAAACACTTCATATACTGTTTCAAACAAAAAAAACAACAATTTCTGAATGGACCATGCTACACTTACACCAAAAAATGTACCCCATTTATTTATACACCACAGTTATGCACAAACATTTTGATAGTTTACACCGACACAAATGTTGGTGCGTTAACAAAAATTTACACGGACACAAAGTGTTGGTGCGTTAACAAAAATTAGTTTTACACCAACACAAAATGTTGGTGCAAACCTGCGGGGTACAAATTGGGGTATAAATGTTGGGGTACACATAGCTTAATCCTTTCTGAATACATGAAACATTCGAAGACTAAATTACACCGTTTGTCCTTCAAGTTAATGATATATTATGCATGATTCTTTCAAATCTAAAATTTTCACGAATAATATTTCAAATCACGTTAGCGTTGCACAATTATTGGTCGTTTCGTTAAATTTGCCGTCAGTGGTGGATCCAGAAATTCTGGTTGATGGGGGCACAATTGATCGGGGCAGCGCCCCTAATTTTTTTATTAAAAAAAGACAATTTGAAATGACAAAAATAATAAATTTTATTTTAAACATTTATTGAAGGTAAAATTTTATTTAATCAGTAATGTAAAATTTTATTTTAAACAATAAATTAAATGCAATAAAATACACTTTACTTCAATAAGATTAAACAAAAAATTAAAAGTTAGATTAATTAAATAAGGTTCTATTCATTTTTGTAGGGAGTAAATAATGTGAGATGAGGTCAATCCCAATTTTAGATGGGGGCATGCAGCCTAAAATATAATAATTTTTTGTTTTTATTAAAATTATTAGTTTAACACCAAAATTTAGTCGGGGACATTTGCCCCCAATTGTTTGGGAGTAGATCCGCCCCTGTTTGCCGTTAATCAGCGGGATTCGGTTTAGTATCTTTCCTAGTTATTTTAATTCTTGTTTTAGTAAGAATAGAAAATTCCATGTTTGTTTTAGGGAGAAAGACCAAACTATGACTAAAACATTGAAAATATACCAAAATAGGACTTCCATGTTTTTATTCCCGAAATAGGACTTACATTACCAAACTTGGTCATATACATTACCAAAAAAGTATAGTAATTTGCACATGTACACTGCCACATTACCACAATGCAAAGTCACATTACCACAGTGCAAAGTCCTATTCCGGGAAAAAAACATGAAAGTCCTATTTTGGTACTTTTTTCAATGTTTTAGTCCTATTTAGGATGATTTCTATTTGTTTTACCCTCTTCCTATATAAAGAGTGTTAGATCTTAATATTCACAAGACAATTCAATACAGAAATATTTTATCTTTATTATTTCAATACAGTGTGTTTTTCATTTTCCATTTTAACTATACAACATGTGATGAATCGTTTTTTCATACAATTAGGACCAAAATGATATGACAAGAACCTTGTAGTCCAATGACACCGCTATGACTGTCTCAAATGTGAGGTCTTGTCACTCATGTGTGTTGATTCTTGGTGGGGACAATAATTCTATAAGCTTCAATAAATGAATAATGAATAAACACATATTACGTTGTAATAAAGTTATTAGTGTTAAAAAAAGATCAAAATGATACAACAGTCCAATAACATTCTAGTATAACTGCTGCAAAGGTAGGAGACTGAAGTGAGGTGGAGGAATGGCTGATAGGTTTTTAGAGAGGTTATCATCAATTTTACTTGCGAAGAATCGTTAGTGACCCGAGTCATTTTAAAGTCAAAAATTTAAAATAACTCGAGTAAAAAAAGACAGTGGGGTTTTACTACAACGTTTTAAAGTTTTCACTTTTGACTTTTGAGTTAAATTGTGGGGTAAAAACCAGGCATTCCCTTTTAGACTCGGTCAGTATCCATATTCCCTAGTCACCGGAGTCTTGACTCTACGCCTATAGCCGAGTTTATGGGAACTGTTCCTTTTTTTTTAGGAGAAATTAAACTCTATCCGTTTTAATTTATAGTGAATTTATTTTTAAATTAATTTACTTTGAAGATTGAGCTAGATTTAAAAAATAAAAATCATATATTTAAAAAATACATAAAAAATAGCTCGAAACAAGAGACGATATGACTATATTGTTTTACACAATATAAAATAAATAGCGAAAATTGTTGAAAATAGTGAATAAGATTTGACCATATGAATAGTTGACGTGCAATATAATTTGGGAAGGAGGGAGTATCAAAATAGAACTCATAATATAAAAAATTACAATGAAGTATCAAAATGCAATGTTAAATCACTTTCCTCAAAACACTCACACTTTTAAATCATACTCTGATTATCTACTCTAACTATTAAATTAAAGTCTTCACTTGATCAAAAAAAAAGTCTTCACATTTAAGTCAAAGTTATTATTATATCTAGACAAGAATACAGGGTCATCCAAAATATAAACTTAAGAGTCTAAATTCTAGACTTGCTTTAGTTAAAATAAAGATTGAAAAAAAAAAGATGAGCCCCATTTTCAACCGATCCTTCAGACCCGACCGGATGAGCCTTCTAACCACGTTCAAACTCATCCTATGTTCCAAAAGTTAAAATTATAAAAAAGGAGACAAGACTAAAGTAGGAGTAAAATATTAAAAATATACTCCGTATTAAAATAGGACTTTCATGTCTATTCTTGAAATAGGAGTTAAAATACATTTATATTACCAAACGTGGTCATGTACATTACCAAAAAGTATAGTAAGGTGCTCGGGTACAGTGTCACATTACCTCTATATTACCACAGTGCGAACTCATCGTATTTCGAGAATAAAAACATGAAAGTCCTATTTTGGTATTTTTTCTATATTTTAGTCTTATTTAGGGTGAAAAAAGTGTTAGAAATCTACCAATTTTGATACCCAATATTTCACAGACACAGACAGACAATAACTAGGTATCTGCATGTCACACAGACAATAAATTTTTGTATATGTAAAACATTTAATGTCATATTTTTGATGTCAAACATGGTAGACTTGTAACACGACTCAGACTTTAACATTATGCATCATAACAAGGCAAGGCTAGAAGTCCTAGGACTACGTTTCAACTTCAAAAAAGGAATGTGGACTCTGATGGAATGGGGTAAATCATCATATATTATTGCTCCTTAGTCCTTACCCAATAGGAATTTTACACATACCAAAATCCAAATTGATACTTGATAGAGCCAAAATAATTTATGAACCTGGAAATGACCTACACAGAATCGACCAAACTTAAATTTATTGTCTCCGAAAGACACACTTAGGACCCATTTGATAAGTTTTAGAAGATTAATGTGATACGAATTTTAAACACGTAAGAAATGATAAAAGGTCTAAAATCTGAAACAAATGTATTTAAAAAGATTTGAAATGTAATTTTTAGTGCTATACAAGAACGGCCAGCAACCAGAAATGAACTACGACGGGCGGGCGACGATAGTACTTGCCCGTGGCGAGGGTGGTCAACAATTGAGCAAAATATCAAATCATCATCTTTATAAGAGTTTTGGTATCTCGAGATATTAAATTTGAAGTTTTTTAGGCATCAACAAATATTAAAAAAAGAAATATTTGTGATATGTAGACATTAATAGAACTTAGGTAGCATGTGCTTACCAAACACACGCTCTTATTACACCAAAAAACCAAGCTACTCAAAATCAATTTGAACATGAGATTATCCAAATTGAACCCAAACCGATCCAAATTTTATTGACACAGCACGACACCAAACGCTAGTCTATCCAAAGTTAATAGAGTTGACTCAAACCCGAATCAAATGAACCAAGCTAAGAACCATGTTCGGGGAACCTCGAGTTGTGCCTTACTTTCGACTACAATGCTTTCACATACATCACAAACATAAAATAATAATCCGTGTTTGTGATGTCTGTGAAGGCATTAGAGTTGAAGTATAACTTTGGGTTCACCAACTTTTTTTTTCATGAATTAATTATCAAGTCTAAATTTGGTAGTGAAAATGCTCTTTCACCAAACGTGCCTGCACTTACTCTCTAAAATCAAACAGCTTTAATTTCTAATGAAGAGGCAAAATCCCATCAAACCACTCCCCAATCTCACCCAAATACAAAAGAAAAAAAAGGGCCCTATACTCCGATCCCTATCAAATCAGATATTACCTCGTTTTGTTTGGTGAGATATGTAAAAAGGAAATCTTTATTTTCTTTTTCTATTTTTATCCTCCTAAAAAATATTTATTTTTTTAGTCATACATTTTTAATTTTTTTAAATTTTTATGTCAAGCCAAAATTTGACTCCAAAGTCAAAATCAACTTGTACGGTGCAATTGAAGGGGGTGAGAGTGTGTTCGGGTCGGGACGGGGGTTTACCGGGGTTAGGGAGGATGAAAACTGTCAATTTTACGAACGGGGCACCGGAGCGCCCCGGGTCATCACATGACATGGAGTTCCAATGTCATTGGAACCCCAGATATCTTATAAAATAAAATTTTAAATTATCTATTCAAAAATTCACGTTCAAAAAATATTTGAATAAAATTTATAATTTTTTTATTATTTTAAATTTCGTATTGAAAAAAATTTAGGCGCTTCCCCTGAACCACCGACCTTTTGTGCCCCCAACTATTTGAATTTCTAGATCCGCCACTACTAATTAAACGTCAAATTATTGAAGAAAAGGCAAGATTGATGAGGGAAGTATGAATAAGTAATGAAGAGTACCAACAACGAAGGAACAGGCAGTCCAGCCACCTCTCTTGGATCTAAGGACAGGGTTACCCTTAAGATCAAAGGTACCATCTTTTGTGTACCCATCTTCTTCTTCTTCTTCTTCTCCAACTCTCCTCATATTCTATATCGAATCTAAGCTATATATACATATACATATATACTCTGTATATATGTGTGTGTTTTGTATAGTATATATATATATATTATTTGGGTTGGTAAAGGATAGTAAAGAGTGGGCGTTTTATATAGATAGATAGATCCCATCCCTTAGATTTCATTTCAATTCATGTATTTCAATTCCAAAATTTGAAATCTTGAATTTCAAATGACAAGGGGAGGTGATTGGATTTAAAATTAAGCTTTGTTATGAATGAGAAGAATTTGATTCAAATCCAAATTCAAAATTTGTAAGTTTCCAAACATGGAATTTGAGCCAAATCCGGATTTGAAATCCAAATCCATGTTCCCAAACATACCATTAGCTTATTCACTCCCAGCTGGCCCGGAGAATTCCCACCTCGCAGCTTGGAAAATGAATTACTTCGTCCTTCCCCAGTATTTATTACTCACTCCCTTTCACTAAAACTATTCTTGTTTTACCTAATATTTCTACGTCCTCAATTTGATTACAAATTCAGTTTTATAAAATATATGTATGTATAAATATACTTCGTAGATATTAATAGTCAAAGTACAACATAAGAGACCGTAAAATGGGAAGAACCTTTACTGATTGAGGGTATAAATATTACTCCCTCCGTCCTATATCTTTCTTCCCGTTGCGCAAAACGAAGAAAAATCTCAAGTTTTTTCAATCTATTTTATTTAAATATTGGTATAGAAATAAAAAATAAACCATACATATTTAAAAACTACATCAAAAGTTCAACAAAACAAGTGGTGACAAGAATATTTTATTTTATCATATAGGCCATGAAAAAACACAAATAAATATAAATTCCCGTGAAGTCGGAATAGTGCTCTGGGAAGAAAGTTTTAGGACGGAGGGAGTATTAAGCTAATGGTCAAAATTTATCAACACATGTTTAAAAAAGACCCTATCAGAACATTTAAAAATTAGATTGGATCAAATCAAACAAACGTAATGCAGCCTTAATAATATCAAGAGAAAAAATGTTGACTCTATTGTGCTGACCATGTTTGGGCTTATTATATTTCTCCTTAGAAATGTAAAAGTGTTGGAAAAAATGACTTGTTGGAATTTATTTTTAAAAAAATTATATATTGAACTACACTTTTTTAATTTATTAGAAAAATAAAAAGTTATAAAAGTTATTTCAAAACATTCCAAAATAAAAATGGTAGCAATTGAACCGGGAAAGATAGAGGAAACATTAAATAAAACTAAGAGAGAAAAGACTCGACTCTAGTTATGAGTGCACTGTTGCTTTAACCGTTTAGGAAAATTTTTTCCATTCCTTCCCGCTTCAAATGTAAAACTTTGTGAAATTTTGTACTCTCACTTGATGTTTTTGTTTCATTTTGATTTACGCTAAGAATTATTATTAATTGAATTTATCTAAATACCAGTGTAATTGTTTTTTAAAAAAATCACCATGTATATAACTAAGAAATAAATTAAAATGTCTACAGAACATGAAATACAATTGTTTATATTATTTTAACAATATATATAAGGAATATTGACTTTGACACTATCAATAATGGATAAGACCAAATTAGTGAATGGAATGGAGTAATGGGGATTCATTTTGTCCTCCCAATTGTGAAAGTTCGAGAGCATCTTGGACCAAATTGTCTAAGAGACATTCGGAAGCAAATTATGATATGGCAAAAGCAGATTGATTTAGAAAGGCTTCAGGGAATTTTGTATGGGCTGGGTGTCTTGGGTGAGTTGGGCTCCCAATCAAATAGGCGTTCAAAAGGCCCCGTTGAAGGATAAGTTCAATGCCAGACTCAATTAAAAAAAGAGTAAATTCCATAAAAGTTCCTCAATTATAAATCGTTTTACATATTTAGTCCCTACATAGTAGATATCAGATATTAATAATTTGGTCCCTAATTATTGCACAACTTTTCACGAATAGTCCTTTGTTAACATTTCAGTTAAGAATGTGGATAAAATTGTAAATTTACACTTCTCTCTCCTCAATTAAGCTTCCTCCCTCCTCTCGTACTCGCTCCTTCTCAAGCCTGTCGTCGAGTAAAACCGAAACGATCACTCTTCTCTTAATTGTTCATCTTTCTGAGGAAACCCAAATTTGAAACCAATAACCTTCATGGATGAGTTTTAACTTTTATGGGTTAGTCTCAGAAAATTACAAAGAAAACAAACCTAAAAACTCATCCATGAACCTTATTGATTTTGATTTTTGGTTCCAACAGAAAGATGAACAATTGAGAGATGAGTGCTGATTGCCTGATTTTGGTTTTGGATTCAAAGCATCAAACTTAGGGGGTTAGGGATGTATTTGGGAAAAGAGTACGAGAGGAGGTAGGAAACTTAATTGAGGAGACAAGAAAGTGTGAATTTACAATCTTATCCACTTACTTAACAGAAATGTTAACAAAAGACCATTTGTAGAAAAAAATATAACAATTGAGAACTAAATTATTGATATTTAATATGTATAGACCAAATATATAAAACGAACTATAATTGAGGACTTTTATATGAAATTTACTCATAAAGCACAGAGAAAAATTACAAGTACAGAAATATCACAAAACTATTCCCGAGTGATGCATGTTTTGTCGAAATAACTCTGAGGTCCCTATATTTTTAAAAAAGGCAAGAGAAGTCCTTAATTTGTGTTATGATGACTAGAAGGGGAGATTCCATCTAATACTTTATTTGTTGGCATTAATAAACTTCTTTTTCCTATTTTGCCCTTAATGTTTTATGATAATAACTTTTAGGTTCATCACTTTTTAGTTTCTTTGTTTCATTTTTTTGTTTCTCTTTTTTCACTTTAATTTGTTTTTTTCATAAACTGAAGTTTCTTCTAGAAAATAGTTTCAAAATTTCAAACTTTTGTATGATATAAAAAATAAATGAAATAAGGACCTTATCAAAAAAGAATATTAGATCTTTTTTTATTTTTAGTACTACATACAAAGTATTAAAAGAAGATTCTTGAGGACTTTCTAGGGAAACAATTTTACTTCATTTTTCGATCAATTTTTAATTTTACTCGGTCTTTTCTTTTTAGGAAACTTCTTTGTTACATTTATTTTTATGTCATACAAATACTTTTAAATTTTTAAATAATTTTCTAGAAGAAAATTTTAAAAAAAAATGTTTCTAAAAAAGAGTAACAAAAAAATAAAGAAAAATAAAGAAATCAAAAAGTGAGAGAAGAGAATGTCTTTGGAAAAACAAGGAAAGAAGCATTTTGTAATGCCTATGAATGAAGTATTGGATAAAATGTCTCTTCCTAACCATTACAATAAGATGTAAATGCCTTTGTTATCTTATTAAAAATATGAGAATCTGAAGAATTATTTCAACAAAACCTGCATCAACCATAAGTAATTTTCTAAAGTGATTTTCTACATAACTATTACTCCATGAGGGGGAAGTTGTCTTCCTATTACTCTAGAACTTAGGGAACAATCTACAACACTTCTAAAATCAATCAGATGGTGCTAGGAGAAACGCATAGCATAATTTTATACGGCATTCAATAATACGCACAAGCGCACCTGACATTAGAGTGTGACTTTGTCACATAATGTCCGCCACGAGACAATTGATGTGCACATTGCCAACAATCTTCCTTCAGTGTTGGGGATCAAACTCATGACCTTGTAGGAACTCAAGTGCTGCCTAAAACAATTAGTGTTAGGGGAATTAAGTACACACATACCCTAGCTTTATAGTACATTCTTCACACACAAACGCCAATAACATTCGAGTGTGACTTGACCACATAGTATAGCCTCAGCTCCTCACATAACAATTGATGAACACATGGGCCACGTTTTACTCAAAATTAAGCACATAGGCATTTTCAGTTTTCAAACAATCAAAAGCGCGCGTCAAAGAAGAAAATTATACACAAACATATATACAATACTCCTTCCATTCATATTTAACTTTCTGTTTCATTTGCGTGTCAAATGGTTGACTAACTATATACAAAAATGTACAATAAATTAAAATGTAAAAGTTTTACTAAATTATTGGTATCAAAAAATACTTTAAATGTTTTAGTTTTAATATTTTTTTGCTAATATATTTTAAGAGATGTATTCTTCGGAAACTTTAAGTTAGAAAAATGAGTCACACAATTAAATAGGAATGGAGGGAGTAATCCATAGATTATTAAGATCTCATGTAAAGACACACGAAATGAAGAAGAAATGAAGAAATCGAAATAGGATATACTCATGTAGATCAGAACAACGTAACAAAGAAGAAAACGAACAAAAGCTCGATACTTTTTCTTCGTGGTAACATTTCGTGAGTAAATTCCGGCCACTACGGCATATAAAACTGTATATATTGACGATGTTTTCAAAACATGTACACTTACATATAATACAACTATAAAATAGCTACGCGGTTAAATTACGTGAATTGAAGGAGAAATATTTAAGAGTATGAACACCAAATATTAAATCATATCAGATCCTACCCTATCAAATATGCCTACATGGGTAGCTCAACTGGTCCAAGGAGAGGATGTTATCAATTCTATAGATTGTTTCTGGGGTCGAATCCCGCCAGCAACAGCATGTGTCGGAGTTCTATTCTGTATAATAACTCCTTGTACGCATCGGGCATGAGGCAACCTCTTTAGGGACCCGATTAAAACCTATACCATTATTTATTCGATCTCCTAACTATCCTGTCGGGCAGAGTTGTGGTGCCGCCTGATGTGAGTGTTCCCGAAAAAATCAAACTAGGCAAGTCAAAGAGGAAGGAGGAGTCCATGAGCGACAGAAACATCAACGGTGATGCCAAAGAGGAGTATAAGGACACCGAGCACGTTCACTAACTTTGATTCGCCGGAGTGGCCGCCGCCCGGAGACATCTCCATTAGTCCGGTCATGGCC